ATTATCTTATGGATTATAACTACGATTTATTCCAATATATAAAAAAAAAAAAAAAATATTTCGTTCTAAATTTTAATTAAGTTAAAATTCGAAATTACTTAAACAATTTTTTAAAAATATTTTAATTTAATTTAATTAATACGCGTCGCGCGTCGCAAGCGTACACACACACACCATTAAATAATCCCCATTAAAATGAATAATAACGAAATAGCACGAAAATGTTATTATATAGATATTCTAGAATATAAAAAAATAAGCAAATTTAATCAAATTTACTGTAATAATTCAGCGTAAAACGTGACAGACAGACAAAAATTGCGTAAATAATACATGAAAAGTGAGTGATCAGAAGGATGCTGTGTGTATACAAGTAGCTAGTAACTTATTAATATTTAAAGGGTATATATTTTGCTATTCTACACTTTAACCTTATTAGAATAAGAACCTAAGAAGTTATTCAAAATTCAAAAAAAAAAGAAAAGAAAATGATTGGTTTCAGCATCAATTCATTTAAATGATCTTCATCCCTGCTTACAGGTTCAACGTGAGATTAATGAAAATACAGGAACTGCCTCGTTACCAAGGGAAAAATGGGATCCCTGGGATCCAATTCTGATAGCTGAAGGTATATTTGCAACTGCAAATGTATTCAGGTAAGCTTACACCCCTTTATTGCATCACAATCTCATTATATCAGATAGTAACTAGAAAGATGTAATCCAATTATAAGTGTGAGAACGTATATACAGGTGTGTTTTTTGTATATTATAAGTTATTTTTTTTGTATTTTCTCCCTCGTTACAAGCATCTAATGAGCTTAAAGAATGTAAAATTTTTATTAATTTTTTCTATAAATCCTGTCAAGATTCATTAATCTTATTTTAAAGAGTATTAACCATACAATTTTTAAAAAGAAAATCTTAAAAAGTAACATTTTAATGCTGTTATATCTTCGCAATTTAATTAAGTACATTTAAATTGTAAAAAAAAAATTATGCAGTCGAAACCTGTCAATGACGGCCACCTTCCAACAGCAGAATCTTCTAAACGAAAGCCATTTTTAATATCATAATTAAGTTATATTTAATTGAATTTTTAAATTTATAATTAAAGATACAATAAGGGTAGACATTATGGAGTGTGAATTAACTGAAGGACTGTTGGAACTTGAGGCATATTTTTAAGGGCCCCGAGTCTGGGAGGCCCCAAAATTAGAAAAAAAAAATTTAAGCAATTCATTGCTGAAATTGTAGCTACAGTTAGAGGTTATAGTTTAAAATTATCTAGAAGGCCCTCCAATATCTATGCCTAGAGGCTGTGGAAGTTTTTAATCCGTCACTGCCTAATCATAGAAAAAGGCATAGAATAATAATGATAATAATATAATAATGAGAAGGAAAGGAAAGAAAAAAGATGAAGAATAAAAAGAAGTAATGAAGAAGAAGAGGAAAAAAGAGGAGAAGGAGGAGGAGGAGGTGGAGATGAAGGATGAGAATAATAAGAAAAATAAGATGAAGAATAAAAAACAAAAGAAAAATAAGAATATGAAGAAGAAGAAGAAGAAAGAGATGAAGAAGAAAAATGCGAAAAGAAATAAAAATAGAAGAATAAAGAAGATATAGCTTAATTATGTTAATTAGAATTAATTTTTACAATTTAAATGCGGTTTAAAAAGTAAATTTGAAGGTTTTAATATCGATTTAATGGCTGTAAAATTCACTGGTAAGATTTATATTAAATTCTTTTTTTGTGTAGTTCTCTTAAACTGGTATATATATTCTCTGTAAATCCTCATCTGGGACCACTTCAGATATCTCTTGGAAGAATGGTAATCGATATCGTCAAGTTTTTCTTCGTCTACACTCTGGTTCTATTCGCATTTGCTTGTGGACTTAATCAGTTGTTGTGGTATTATGCTGACATGGAGAAGCAAGAATGCATGAAGAAATCAAACGGAAACGAAACTAGAACAGATCCATCTTGTCTCACTTGGAGAAGATTTGCAAAGTAAGAAAAATAATCCTTAAATTCTTTCTTTTTTCCACCCTGAATCCAACTGAGTAAATTTTAATTTCTTTTTTTATTATTTAATTAATTAATTGATGGTGATCTATAAATTAAGAAATTGAAACCATTCTCATAAAAGAAGAATATGTTAATAAGGTATTATTATAATTACTTATTTTAATTAAATTACTGTTCTTTCTTGATTTATACTCTGTGCGCTAGAATATTTGCATTATTTAGTTAAAGAATTATTGTTCTTTAGTCATTTTTAATATATGAACAGATCCAGATAGAGGGGTGCTCTCTTGGCTTATTTGTTATGGACCCCAGATAAGGAAACTTTCAAAATTTAGTGTTTTATATTAAGAAAAACCATGAAATAAATTAAACTAGCTTTTGATGAATGGCGAAAAATCTTTGTTTTTATTTAAATTATTCATTATTCACGCATTCTAGGAAGCTATGTAGGGCCCATATTTGTAAGTCGTGCCTCATCTCACCTTGCTATCTTTATACATTATATATTTATAAATATAATTCATACTTATTAGTTCATAAATACTTTGCATATTTGTGAAAATGTTAATGAAATATTGAAAAAAATGTGCCTGCGTGTGAACATTTTATAGAAAATTTACCTTATTTCGGTGATAGACACGTGAAGAAAACTCCACGTGATCAGCCTGTGAGGCGTAAACCCGTGACCAACTACCAGTGTTATGGTGTTATCTAGTGTTATCTACTCGACCATTGGTAGACAAATAATGACCCCACATACTATGATAACATAACAATGTATTTTTTTCAGACTAATAACGATGGCTAGTTTGAAACAATATATTACTGTATTGTTAAAGTATTATTGGATAAGTGGCCACAATAACCGCTAGCCACACTAAATAACATCTAAATATTTATAGTGTTATCGCTATACTGATATATCCTTCTTCCAATAATCGGATAAGGGAAGAGTATAAGGACGTTTTTAAAATTGGATATTGTATAATGATGTATAATCTGTAAAATTATTATAATTCAATAAGATTTATAGAGTTACAGTACGTATCTAGTAATTGGATTCATAGCAAATGGAGTATGAATGCTATTGGCATAAGGGATGATATTGCTTCTATTGATTTCTTTAGAGTCAGCTGGAGATAAAAATTTAAGTCTCTTATGTCATTCGAAAATAGCATTGGAAACTACAAGTTGTATAGCTCCATTTTTAATGCATGGTTAATTCAGATTTATTATATAATGTAATAAAGTCAAACTCTTAAACAGCAGCCATTTCATAACAAAAAAATTCATACAAAATCACCTCCAAACAACGGCCACTTCCGAACAACGTCTATTTTTTTTATGTCGTCATCAGTGGCCGTTGTTTAGAGGTTTAAATATATTTTGGTCTTCAGAAAAATGATAAAAACGTTTAAATATTATGTTTTTATATGAAATATTTAAATCTTGAGACCTCCTGTTCGGGGTTCAGATCAAATGTCTGCTTGAAAACCCTTTAAGTAAGTCCGATAAATATGCTAAACAATATTATAGATATAATGGTTTTTTTGAATATTTTTCGTAGGATAAATAATATAATTTTCAGTGTTTATTATGCTATTTGAGTAGAGAAAAATAAATTATTATAAACGTAAGTGGTTTATCGCAAAATATGTAAGAAAAATAAGCAATATCATTTGAATCGAATTAGATTGACGATGATTGGCAGAAGAAATCGATAATAATACGCCCATTTCTATCTCCGCCAATCATTGTTAAAATATCCATTTTAAAACTTAATCTTGCAAATATCACAGAGGACTACATAAGTTCATATGCATTTTTTTTTCTTTTACTGTTTTTTCTATGTATTATTTTATAAACGATCTTAAAAATTTTCATAAGTTCCGTTTAATTATATTAAATTAAAGTATTTTAAGATACTCTTAATGTTTACATTCTAGTTATGATTATATTTTACATGATTACGTGGCCAGGATACCTATCTGGAAAGCAACCTGGCCAGTTTCCTACAGAGAATGTCTCCTATTTAGGTATTAGACACGCGAAGAAAACCCGGGGAAACTGCATATGGTTAACCTATTAGTGAGGTGCGAACCCACCACCAATGCCCAGTAGTTTTATTCATTTGGCCACTAATATACTGTAGGAAGGGAATAGGATATTGATGTGTTATTGTAGACACTTGAATAAATGTGACTATATAGTGAAATTACGTACTTAAAACACTGCTGAAGAATGCGTGCAATAAAAATTGACACGAAAAGATTCTTATCTGAAAAAAATTCTATTAAAAATATTGCTAATGGGCTCCAAATCAAAATTAATGAGCTTAATTAAATTGCAGTAATTTCTTTATTATGTAGAATTGGTACAGTACATGAGGCCTTCGTAAATGAAATGTTTCTACTGATTGGCCTTACTGGTCTTCTTTATTTGAATTTGCGTATCTGATAATAAAACTTTTACGTATATACAGTCGAACCTCTTAACAACGGACACCGAAGGGAACATGAAACATGGCCGTATCTATTGTTTATAGAATATTTTTGTATTCATTTTTTGTTCAACGTTCCTTAAAATGGCCGCTGTTTAGAGGTGGCCATTTTTGAAGGTTCGACTTTATAATGTTCGTTATGAACGTGTAATCATTCTACATTTAAGTTAACGTTAAATAAAATAAATAACTTAAGTTTAGTTCGAATAGTGACCAGAAGTTTACCAATTAAGTGGCTTTGTTCCAAGTACATATAACGATTTCACGAAAAGATCAGTAAATCTTCATTTATCGAAACGTTATCTGCAGAAAATAAAGTTAATGGTAATGGTAAGTATCTTAACGTATTCTTTACAAGCTTTTTTCTGTCTTGTAATAAAACTTTCCGATAAAAATACAGAACAATTTCTATATTGAACAGTCGTTAATTAGGATTTTACGGCTTTAAAACTTGGTAAAAAATCGATGAAATTAAAGGAAAAAAATTCTTAAAAATCTTCTTTAAAGTTATCATTTTTAAAAAAGAATATTTTAATAATTTTAATTTTATTTAAAATTTCTTAATTTTATAAATTTGCAATCATTTCAAACAGTTTTACTTGTTGATATTGTTATATTTAAACATTACAAATTACATTTTTATTGATTATGCATTACTTATTTTAGATTCCAATTAATTAAAAACATATTAAAACTATCTATATTTATAAAATAGAATGTCAATTGTCTGTTTGTCTGTCCTCCTTACAATCCTAAACTCTTTCACCGAATTTTTCTTGCGCCGAATATCTCCTCCACTATTTTAGAAACAAGTAAAAATAAATAAATAAATAAAACCTGTGAACAACGACCATCGAGAAAACATAAAGATGTCTGTTGTTCGAAAGTTATTCGCTGTAGTTGATTAGTATACATAAATTTATATAGTAAACGTATAAAGTAATGAGCGTTGAAAATAGGTTTCAAAAGTTATTTTATTCCTATTATTATTAAAAATTTATAAGTAAATTAATTGAAAATCATTTTAAATATATTTTTTAATATGAATATCGTATGTTTAGAGGTAAATCTCCTACTTTAAACATCGACATCTGTTGAATAAAACAGAAAAAAAAAAAATATGGGAAAAAATATGACGTGGAGCGAGTGATTCAAAGGATATAAAATCAGAAGCAGAAAATGTGTGTCAAAAATGTCCAAAAAATATCATTACTCATCGGTTTTTCTTCCTACAAAAAATGCAATTTATAACCCTAAACGGTTAAAAAATTTTGAAAAATAATTTTAAAATATTTAACTATATTATTCTACTACACTTGATTTACAAAACAGTCGAATCTCCAATAACTACCAACCACCTTTAAATGGTTTCAGACTTACCAACTTATTCAGAGGTTTGATTGTATTAAAATAATTTAATGGTGCTCAGTAATTATCCTATTGGTAAGGCTAGATGCTATTTTATGGACTCTACCCCTAATAATATATTAAATATAGGGTGTATAGATATCCCTGAAAGATATAGAAATACAGTAAAACCTTCTAAAACGGAAATCTTGTATATAAGGGGCATTGATGCTATTAAATTTTGGAGTATGGAATTTCGTCTCGAGAGGGGTCGAACTTAATGAAGATTTCATTCGTTATTGGCATTTACAATATTTTTAAAAATTCATCTATACCCCAAAATTAAGTTTTTTTTTGCCTTTTTATATAATTAATAATATAAAAGTTATTTTTTAAAAAACATTTCGTAACAGATAATGCCACACACAATTTTAACTTTGAACGAGTGTCATATTGACTTAAATTTTTAATGCAGATTTTTTTATCATAAGTCAATACAATTACTCATTTTATGTTATTAATTAATTAAATTTTATATTCTAGTATAACTGAAAATTATCGGATTTCCTAATGGATTTCCTTAACCTCCTGTTTGAGTGGAGGAAAGTCTAGCACTAAAGGAATCAAACTGAAAAACTTATCATGCTTTTGAAGCTTGCTAGTAATATGGGCAGAGGGTTTCTTTACAACATTCCCATAAATGAAGTAAAATTCCTCCCAAATTTTTTATTGCCTGCTGAAAATCTCTTGTAGAAAGAGTTTCACATATCCACCATCTTCAATTTGACAGACTGGCAACATACATCCTTCTGAAATTCTTTTCGTTTCCATATATTTTCACTACAGAGAACTGTCCTCACTGAAATAAATCAAAACCAATATGGAAACATACAAATCGATCTATTTCAGAGCTAGATCTTAGACTTTTTCAAATTTTAAACTAATAGTATTGAAGAAACTTTCATGGAATGAATAGAAACAGCCATTTTTGTTGTGTTTCTATTCATTCCGCTAATTCACGGTATTACATGGCAATAAAAAGAGCATTCTAAGTATGAGAATTTTATGAAATGATACTAGAACATTACCCTAACACAACTTATAATATGACACTTGCTAACAAAGTTTGTCAAAATCGGTCATGATTCGCGCCTGTTGGTCACGTGGAATTTTTCGGGTTTCTTTCACGTATCTAACACCTAAATAAAGGCCATGGAGTTAAGGCAATTAACTTAAGCATTATATGTAATAGTCTGAAGAGCTCTCTTGATGAACCATCTATATTACTTATACAAGAATTTCATGAATAATTTGTAAGCTCGAACTGATATTATACATCTCAAAGATTTATTCCGTATGCATCGGTTATAATACAGTAAAATATATAACAAACGAATTACCTAATTGATATTTTCTCAGGAAGTCTTTAATAAAATATATGAACAGTCATTAGGGTGATCCTGTATACAAGGTTACTTTAGAATACCTCATCTTCAATGCTTTCTGTAAACTTTGAGAAACTATTGATACACGTCACTTTCATTTAAAAATGGTTAATTAACTTTTACACCATCTTGCACGTAATTTTTTTGAGACATTGCTTATGTAATACAGTCAATTTACATAGCACAACGAATCTATGTACAAGTTTAATTAACTCATTAAGTAATATTTTAGAAATTATTGCTAATGTCACATAGTTTACTCATGCCATAAACAATTTGTAAAGTATAAACAAATACTGTATTTCAATTTACAGTGAAATTCTACAAGATTTGAATCTAGAACAGGTGTTTTGAAGTCTCTTCAAGAGATGAGTGAATAGATTTCGGAGGATTTCTGAACTTGAACAGGAAAAAATCAATTTATTTTCATTAACTTCTAACTGAAAATTAACATTTCCATCAGTCATATTGTAGGCAGCAGACCATTGTAGCATTAGAGGTATCTACCCACCAGCTGTAGAGTAGATAACATCACTGAACACTTGATCTTGGATTCGAGCCTCACCAAACGACTGGTCATATGAAATTTTTCATGTTTTCTTCATTGCCCAACTTCTAAATTGGGGTGCATATAAAATCCTTCCTGGAGGCACACACTTCTTGGCAGATTGTCCATGTGTTGCATTGTCTTATCTCATCAATACAATTCAATCTATCAGCAGTATCAGTGACATTTTCACCAATAAAACTCACCTATTTATACTGTTCTGTTTTATTCATAAAATATTTTACAAGAATATGTATTTCTTATATAGTTTCATGTGTAAAAACCGCAATTTTTCAAGAAGAAATGCAATAAACATGCATAGAATTTAAGGAATGCTTAATATTCGATTACTAAAAATACGGGTAATTGTCATATACATGCTTACAATAGTTATGTGAAGTTATATAAAAGGGCACCACAAATACCCAGTTGCCTAGATCTAACACATCTTCTTGACGTAAAACTGTATTAAGAACGTTCAGTACCCGTTTGCTAGCACAGTGAGCACACAAAACCCTATAAAATGGCATTAATACTTATTATTATATTTATAATATATGTATTTATATAATCATTTTTAAGCAATGTGACTAATAATCAAGAATATTATATTTTCAGCTTATTCGAATCTTCTCAAACCTTATTTTGGGCAAGCTTTGGTCTAATCGATTTGGATAATTTTGAACTAAACGGTATACAAAGTTATACAAGATTTTGGGGCTTGCTCATGTTCGGATCGTATTGCGTGATTAATGTCGTTGTATTATTAAATCTTCTGATTGCCATGATGAATCATTCCTACCAAATGATTTCGGTAAGTTTCATTAAATTTCGAAGAAAATTATTCATTTTAATTAAATGATTTAGTTATATTTTTACTAGGAGCATGCTGATGTAGAATGGAAATTTGCTCGTTGTAAATTATGGATGAGTTATTTCGAGGATGGAGGTACCGTCCCTCCTCCTCTTAATATAATACCGACACCGAAGAGTTTGTATTATTTAACACGATCGTTGATAAAGCACTTTCGTGGAAATTCAAAAAATGCACGAAAAGAGCACTTAAAAACGATTCGAGTAAGTTTTTTCCCCTCAATAAAAATTGTTTTTTGATGTATAATTTAACTTTTATATGCTGTAAAATTAATTATTTTTGTATGCTTATTCAAAGAGGAAAGCGAGACAAGCTAGTGAAAGAGATCATAAATATCAGGTATGTTAGACAATTGTTTCGTTTATTTCGTAATTCATTTCATTATACAGTGTCCAAAGACGAAAACCTGTAAATGGCACTTATTTTTCGATAACGTTAAACATAATGCATACCAAATAACCTCCAAACAACGGCCCCTCCCAACAGCGACCATATTATGTTCCTGTCATATCGTTATTCGAATATTTCATAATGGGATCTTGTAACAACGAAAATTTTCTTTCTATAGTAATGAAACAGTTAGATTCGTATAAAAATATATGAATTTGACTTTTCTATGACAATTGCGCGCAATTGTCATAGAAAAGTATAATATGATTGCTATAGAAACAAGAAAATCATTTCCATAGCAACGATTAAAATTTGTTTATTTCATTAAAAAATATGTACTTTTCATCGTTGCTATAGAAACAAGAAAATCGTTTCCATAGCAACGATAAAAATTTGTTTATTTCATTAAAAAATATGTACTTTTCATTGTTGCTATAGAAACAAGAAAATCGTTTCCATAGCAACGATAAAAATTTGTTTATTTCATTAAAAAATATGTACTTTTCATTGTTGCTATAGAAACAAGAAAATCGTTTCCATAGCAACGATAAATATTTGTTTATTTCATTAAAAATATGTACTTTTCATAAGAATATAATATTTTATTTCGTAAGTCTGAAAAAATAAGTAAATTTCATAAAAAATACTTTAGTTTGTTAAGTCTATTACAGGAAATAAGCAACGAAAGTTAGTGAAATAACTAAAAAAAGTTCGATATATTTTTTCAACATTAATTCTTATATTCTCGTATCTGTTATTAACATATAAAACCACAATAATGAATTTTGTTTGATTAAATAAACCTGTAAAAAATAGAATATGAGTCTATATATTGCCATCAGGTAATATATTAGCTGTATATATCGAAAGAATGATTGATTCAATAGTAAATGAAATTCTTGGGTGTCGCCATAAAAAAACAACTACTTTNTTAATTAAAAAAATAATAATATAAAAAACCAGCTTGTGTTATTTGTATTCAACTGATAATCCTTCAGACTAACAAAAAGAAAAAAAGAAATTTCGTATTCAAATATGAAATTTCTTTTAATTTTAAGCAAATATTTAAAGTTTTATGAGTAAAAAAATACAATTTTTATATTTTGAAAAAGTTTAAAAAAAGTAATTTAATTTTTAAAAAAATTAATTTTAAGGTAATAATGCGTAATCTTGTAAGACGTTACATCACAGAAGAACAGAGAAAAGCTGATAATCAAGGTGTGACGGAAGATGATGTCAACGAAATTAAACAGGACATTTCGTCTTTTCGTTACGAACTTATCGAGATTCTATCGACTAGTGGATTTAATACATCAGCTGCTAAGGGACAGGGACAGAGTAAGTTAATTATAATTAATTAAAGCATTTATTTTAAGGTTATTCCTCCCTCTTTTATCCCCCTCTTCAATAATTTAAGTAAGAGAAATTTTTGTATGAGTAAGCTCTCGGGTGTTTAGCGGGGAGGGATTTACGTATAAGCTAAACAAACTATGGCTTAGGGCCTTGTCTTAAGTGGGCCTCAATCAGAAACGGATTTAGACTCGCTTTACCTACGCTAACAACATGTAAGAGGCTCTTCCTCCTTCACTAAATAATAATGGGCAATGTGTAGACCTGTAAACTGTCTTTTAGATTAAGCACGAGGCCCTAATCTGTAGCTTACTTAGCTTATACGCAAATTTAGTTCTATTCTCAATATTATACAAAGAGGCCCTTTCTACTTTGAGATTTGTATTCTTAAAGGAGGAAAGGCCTCTTGTAGGCTATGTTATAGCGCAGGCCACAAGTCTAAATTTGGCTCTATAATTATGTTTAAATTTCAATTTAAAATATTAGAAAGATAAATAAATTTAATTTATAAACATTTTTTTAGAAAAAAAAAATTAATAAAAATCAGCTTTATTAATCGATTTACAAATTAGCATTATCAATTTCGCGTCGCTTGTCATCGCTACGCGCATAGAAAAAGTTTAGAGCGTTATACATACAGACAAACCTCGATATAGCGCCCCCGTAAATAGTGTCACTCTCGTAAAGCACCAATGAAGACTTTCGAAGGGATATTTTCTGTATTTATTATAATAGGAAAATAGAAAATGATGTCAAATTGACGTAATACTGAGAGCTATTCTGACAAAACGAACGTTAAACACTGGAAATCCAGTATCTGTGAATAACTAAATACACGATTTTGTAACGCAAACCATATTACTATTTCGCTGAAGTACTTGGATTTAGCATCAAACTCGATTTAGTGCCGATGCCAAACAACAATGACGCTAGACGAAGTTTGAGCGTAATACAGAGGTCTGTACGCAAGATCGAGTTTGAAAGTCATGTGATTCGGTGATATAACCATATCTCTTACAATGCAAAGTGATACACTTAGGAAATCGCAAATACTAAACGACAAATATTCATTGGAGTTTTATGAGGGTAACGCCATACAGTTTGGCGCTGTATCGAGGCTCGACTGTAATTTACTTTACAAAACGTGCTTTAATGGAAATATTTTACGTGTTTGTGGGATTATATATGCGCATCCTTTTAGCCAAACGTTAGAGTAGATAGCGTAGTTACGAAAATGTCCTCTAGGGTGGAAAATGGCGTTGAAATACCGTAGTAGATTATCCAAAATGTCTCGAATGTTTACAGGAAATTTGTATAAACCATCACTTCTTTGTGTTGCCTACAATGGAGTTAAACATAACGGGCATGCCGCTGCGCAACCACACAGATACTGGATTTCCCGTGTTTAACGTTCGTTTTGTCAGAATAACTCTCAGTATTACGTCAATTTGACATTATTTTCTATTTTCCTAGTATAATAAATACAGAAAATATCCCTTCGAAAGTCTTCATTGGTGCCTTACGAGAGTGACACTATTTACGGGGGCGCTATATCGAGGTTTGTCTGTATGTTATAATGCTCTAAACTTCTTCTTTGCGCGTAGAGATGAGAAGCGACTCGAAATTGATAATGCAACCTCACAATATACCGTAAGCTTTTGAGGCATTTCAACTTATCTAGTACGGTGTTGCAGCGCCATTTACAGCCCTGGTGGACATTTTTGTAACTAAGATTTTTTTTTATATAGAATAAAATTTCATCACCTCAGGATTCTACGTGTGAAATATCACTTCATTCTCCAGATTAGTTCCCGAGTTATACCCTTTTGAAACGTGAACTTTAATTACGAACACCCAGTGTACATTACCGAATAAATGTGATGAATAAGTCAAGTTTTTAAACCAGAGCTCTAATTTGAATATTTAAATGTACAATTTAATATTCCGTACACGTTTACACTTAATTTTCTTAATATTTTTTTTCGTATTCTCCTATAAAATCTTCAAAAAAAAATGTTCTGATTTTTCTGAGAAAAGATATAGGCCTATATATTTTTTTTATTTAAATTATCACTTCATAAAATATACCTAAATAATTTAATTAAAAAATAATAATATAAAAAACCAGCTTGTGTTATTTGTATTCAACTGATAATCCTTCAGACTAACAAAAAGAAAAAAAGAAATTTCGTATTCAAATATGAAATTATTAAAGTTTTATGAGTAAAAAAATACAATTTTTATATTTTGAAAAAGTTTAAAAAAAGTAATTTAATTTTTAAAAAAATTAATTTTAAGGTAATAATGCGTAATCTTGTAAGACGTTACATCACAGAAGAACAGAGAAAAGCTGATAATCAAGGTGTGACGGAAGATGATGTCAACGAAATTAAACAGGACATTTCGTCTTTTCGTTACGAACTTATCGAGATTCTATCGACTAGTGGATTTAATACATCAGCTGCTAAGGGACAGGGACAGAGTAAGTTAATTATAATTAATTAAAGCTTTAATTTTAAGGTTATTCCTCCCTCTTTTATCCCCCTCTTCAATAATTTAAGTAAGAGAAATTTTTGTATGAGTAAGCTCTCGGGTGTTTAGCGGGGAGGGATTTACGTATAAGCTAAACAAACTATGGCTTAGGGCCTTGTCTTAAGTGGGCCTCAATCAGAAACGGATTTAGACTCGCTTTACCTACGCTAACAACATGTAAGAGGCTCTTCCTCCTTCACTAAATAATAATGGGTAATATGTAGACNAACTAATAAGTTATCTATTTTTATAACACTGAACGTGTATAGGAGAATCATAATTAAACTTCATATATTCAGATTTATTCGGCAGTATATACAAAATTTATGAAGTTTTCTCATTAAATTATGTATTAGAGTTCTAATAAAGATTGTGGATTCGATCCTATCCAGAATAAACAATTCCTTCTTACCTATATATTGGTTCCTTCTAATGAATATATGGCTTGTGGGAGTTCCTGTGATTCTTATGTACAGGATAGCCATAATTAAATTTTCCCAATTCAGAGCACTTTGTAGCTGTAATTAATAAGCGGATTGACACCGACAGCGATTAAAGTCAGTGAAAACAATGGCGTGGATCTGAATCGGTGTGATTTATGGTTATGGAACCATTTAAAGAATATGATATATTATGGAAATATCTTTGGCAGATTTACAGGATCGTATTACACTGCTAGTATGAAGTATCATTGGAGAGCAGTTGTGATCAGTTGTTTAGGAGATGAATACACTGTTCATCGCCTTCAAATTTTACATCTGAACAATGAAACACACATTGAGCAATATTTCTTACATTCAGTAAACAGCCGCCGCAGAAGGCATGCCTCTTGAGGAACGAATAAATTAGTTTTTATTGTTTAGTTTCCTGTAAAGCGCTCCCTAGCGGAAGTTTTTGAACTTAACTTTTGTTTTCAAAATCCTATTTCGTATTCTTTTCATAGTCTGTATACAAATTGTGGTGTCAGTTGAAAGCTAGGAGTGCTCTGAATAGAGAAACCTTAGTTATGGCCATCCTGTATATGTCTTCAAATTAATAATTTGGGTCCACAGGTGGCCGAGTGGATAAAACATTGAATACTAAGGCACTACCAGTGTCCAGTTGTTTTATCCATTCCTTCCTCCATACTAAAAGAATTTACCAAGAATTACCCTAAAAGACATGATTAGGCTAATCATCATTAATCATCAGCACCAGCAGCATCATTCATTACTATTCACCATTATCATCATCATCATCATCTGTTGGCTTATATAGAAGTCGTAGATCTATTATTGCATTCATCAACTCTCACTCTCTTACTTTATTTTTTGACTCTATCTCTTGCTCCACATCTCACAGCATCTTTCTTCATCTTCTATCTTTACATCTTCCACTGGGTATTGTTCTATTTATTTTTAGGGTATAAAACTCATATTGTCAGTCTATCGTCACTCATGCAGGCGATGTGATCTGTTCATTTTGCCCATACAGGGTGGCCCAAAACTCAGTTGACCACTATAAAGCGTAATTTGCTCAAAATCATTTTTTCTTCTCTTTCGTATCCGAATTTTGGGCCATACTCTATTTAAAATTAATCTATAATCAATAGAAAATATAAAATAGACAGGGAACGTTATAAAATTTTTATTATGTACAGACTTTTGAAGTCGTGGGTTCGATCTCATATCATCATCACGAGTACGGACAAGCCCATAATGGAGGGTCGTTCTCATTAAGGGCATGGTCACTATGAGTATGGAGAAAATTGATGCAGTTTTCTCCATACTCGTAGTGACCATGCCCTTAATGGGAACGACCCTCCATTATGGGCGTGTCTAGGTAAACCAACAGCTATGTAAGAAGCCAATGACAGTTCATTTCACATAAAACGTTTTATACCATTGGTCACTTAGATACAACCTTAGTGTCCACAGGAACCAATCAATAAATTCTTCCATAAGTTGCTCGAGTTATTCACGCGGTTAGCTGACTTTTGAGCCACGCTGTATATTTTATTTTCTATTTAAATAAAGGAATATTAATTATTATTTTAATATATAAAAATATTTAAAAAAAAGTAACAAAAACAAAACTAAAAAATTAATTTCAGTGAAGATTTCTTGTAGCCAATAAACCATTTAATCTTCTTTTATTTATTTATTTATTGTTGAGCTTGTTAAGTTATTTATGTTATTTTCCCGATTACTTGCAACATTCTTTTTCTTTTCTTTTTTTTTTATCTGCCAACAAAGAAGCTGAACTTGCAAAAATCCCCACAAAATTCTCTGCAATAAATCTTCGGTATTATACACTACACAACCATTTAAAACTTATTCCAATTAATTTAATTGGCTTAAAGAATTTTAGAAATTAATAAAATATTTAAATTTTAATTAACCTATTGAATTGCTAGATAATCAATGTTGAATAATTATTTTAAAAGCTTTAATTTCTTAATTATATTTTGTTAATTTAATGAAAACATGTATCAAAAGTCTTCTATACATTTTCCACAATAGAGATAAATTTATGATTTAATTTAAGATAGTTTAATAAAGTGTAAATAATTTAATTCTTATACAAAGAGTTGCTTATTAAAATATTCAATTAATATTGTTATTAAGAAAATAACTGTTAGCATATAAAATTACTTAACTAATAAGTTATCTATTTTTATAACACTGAACGTGTATAGGAGAATCATAATTAAACTTCATATATTCAGATTTATTCGGCAGTATATACAAAATTTATGAAGTTTTCTCATTAAATTATGTATTAGAGTTCTAATAAAGATTGTGGATTCGATCCTATCCAGAATAAACAATTCCTTCTTACCTATATATTGGTTCCTTCTAATGAATATATGGCTTGTGGGAGTTCCTGTGATTCTTATGTACAGGATAGCCATAATTAAATTTTCCCAATTCAGAGCACTTTGTAGCTGTAATTAATAAGCGGATTGACACCGACAGCGATTAAAGTCAGTGAAAACAATGGCGTGGATCTGAATCGGTGTGATTTATGGTTATGGAACCATTTAAAGAATATGATATATTATGGAAATATCTTTGGCAGATTTACAGGATCGTATTACACTGCTAGTATGAAGTATCATTGGAGAGCAGTTGTGATCAGTTGTTTAGGAGATGAATACACTGTTCATCGCCTTCAAATTTTACATCTGAACAATGAAACACACATTGAGCAATATTTCTTACATTCAGTAAACAGCCGCCGCAGAAGGCATGCCTCTTGAGGAACGAATAAATTAGTTTTTATTGTTTAGTTTCCTGTAAAGCGCTCCCTAGCGGAAGTTTTTGAACTTAACTTTTGTTTTCAAAATCCTATTTCGTATTCTTTTCATAGTCTGTATACAAATTGTGGTGTCAGTTGAAAGCTAGGAGTGCTCTGAATAGAGAAACCTTAGTTATGGCCATCCTGTATATGTCTTCAAATTAATAATTTGGGTCCACAGGTGGCCGAGTGGATAAAACATTGAATACTAAGGCACTACCAGTGTCCAGTTGTTTTATCCATTCCTTCCTCCATACTAAAAGAATTTACCAAGAATTACCCTAAAAGACATGATTAGATCTTCCATATTGTAATATAATGCCTCGTACGAAGAAATTGTATTCGGTATTCTTTTATGTTCTTGTTCCTTTAATTTCCAATTAATTATCTAGAAAAATTCGTATAAACAAAATTTAATTAGTGTATATTTGTTTACGATTGTTAAAAGTTTAATTAATGTATTGAAGAAAAGTAAAAACGTTATTTAAACAACGAAGAAAGTATTGATATTATAATGCTATTGTGATTTCATTTAATTAGTATTAAATACATTTATTAAGGTATTAAAAATTTTTCAAAAGTTCTTTAATGCTTGTTGTTTGTAAAATTAATTGTTGAAATAAAATATTATTGTATTTTCAGGTGCAGGAGGAAAAAAAGGACGTCAAAGAGAGAGGCGACTTATGAAAGGATTCGATATTGGATTAGTAGAAGGTTCGGTACAGACTCTTCCAGAGTTTTGTTCTACAGAACTTACAAAGAAATCACCAGTTAGTCGAATGGTTAAAATCGCTAGAATGGCAGAAAATAAGAAGAAAATTAAAAAAGGAAAATGGAGCTATTTAGTAGAAGCGACAAGAAATGCTCGATCGGCTTTCTCCAGAAGTCGAAGCGAGGATTCTATTAGTAGCCAATTAAGTTCGGAACAAATGAGCCAGCGATTTGCAACATCCCCCAGTGAGTCGAACTCGAGTGTAGCAACTTCACCCGGAGTTGCTGCTAATGACAAAACTAAAGACTTCAGTCCAACTCATCAGACACCGAGCATCAAGAGATCGATGTTTGCGCGACGGTTTGGCACCATCTCTTTCAATCCTGCCAAACTGAGAATGATTTTCCAAGAGCAGAAAAACTTCTCTCAACCAGAAAGTTCTACGCGAAATGTTGCATCTCTGGAGCGCAGTCAAGCATCTAGAACTTCCAGTGCACCATTCAGAGAAGAGTTTTTAAAATGCAATGATTTACACAAGAAAGAAGACAGGAGGCCATCAGTATCATTGACTTCTTTGTGTATGAATTTACCAACTCGTAGTCTCTCGCCTATTCCTAGTTGTGCCAGTTCGAACGTTCACACGCCTAGGAATTCTATTACTGGAAATGTGGAGATGCAAACTATTAGTTCAGAATGTGCAGAGATGGAACTACAGAATGTTGCAGTGAGCAAATGTGAAAACGTTCACGCAACTACCAGCACAACAGATACTATTTCTACTGTCAGTAGTCCAGAATGTTTAATGAGTCAAAGTTCTTCGAGGGAGCCATTAATGTCTAGTCAAAAGTCTGCGAATGGCACTTTGGGAGTTATATCGACAGTTTATGGTATTGAACCTGTTAACTGTCCGTTGTCTATGGGGTGGATATGAACATTTAACAAAAAAAATAAACTATTCAATTACTGTGGATTATTACCTACATAAATATAAAACAATGCAATATATCCACCTTCAGGAAAAAAAACTACTCGTATCTTCATAGTAGAACCGAAAGTTTTATAAATTTTAAATAATTTTTCTTAACCAACAAACCCAAGTTTTTCTTTTACATTAAATTTATTATTAAAAATGAATCTTTAATGAATACAATAACAATACCAATTAATAGAAAAAGCAAAATAAAATCGAAAAATTCCTCAAAGAAATATAAGCGGTTCTCCTCAATTCAAGTAAGATATCATTTCAATAACGAATTGGCTGACGTTGTAGTTTTCTTAAAGACGATTGGCCTAAGAGATTGATGACATTTTAAATTCAACCAATCATTTTAATTAATTAAATAAATTTTGAATTTCAACTAATTGATTGAGGAAATCATTTTGAATTAAAAATTAATTTCAATTTAAATTTTTTTTACTAGTTTTTAACGTTATTATATTCATTAACGATTCATTTACGTAGAATTAAGTTTTAAAAATTATAAATATTTAAAATTAATTTATAAAATATTTCTTTATTCTAAAAAAGTTATCTTAATAATGATAGATATTGTGGAGAAAGGATGAAGATTCTGAAAGCGTGATGAGTTAAACAATTATTAAGTACTTATAAATTATATTTAACGTGATAATTCTTTAAAATTACATTAAAAAATACACTTTAAATATTGGCCTTAAACATATACAACGAATATAAATAGAAACAAATTCCTAAATTAAAATTTACAATTAACTTCTATTCTTCAAACGTTCGTACGATAAATTTAAATTAAACAAACATTATGAAATATATTTAAAATTTAAGAAAATGTTTTGAGCAATTTAAAATAAACGTACAAAAAAATAAATAAATTTAATATAAACGGAGATACGTAAATATGTAAATTGTATTTTTTTAATTAGCTTAAAATAGGAATTACAATATTGAAAAAAAATAGGGATTAGATTTAAAATAAAAGATTATTTTCTTGAAAATAATTAGTCCAATTAAATGTTAAGCTTTATATCAGGGTTCCCAATCTGCCTGGTCTCGTGTTAGGTTGAAACACGAACATATTGGGAGTGTCACGTGTCACGTTCAGTAAATGGCCTTACACGATGCATTGTATCGAATTATGTAAAGTAACAATACGAATGTGTTGGGAGTGTCACGTGTCACGAACTAGTTCAATGAATGGTCTTATTGAACTGGTTGGTATCACGTGACATTCCCATTACTTTGTGTTGCTATACTATGGGTTAGTACCACGTGATGCTCATAACCCCGTCTTGCTACGTGAATATCTCGAGATTAAGCATCTCAGTCACTAGTGATCCCTCAAGGGGATTTGTGGGCAAATATATTTAGTGTTGTATTTTAAAATATATAAATATAGCAATTAATATTGATCATCATTAAATTCGATTCAAGTAAAACACACAATTTAAATTTATATTATTATTATTACCATTCTATTCGTGACGTATTTTGTATCAACGTAGAAAGGGGTCGAAGAATTAAGTCTAGTTTTGAAGAGAGGGAAAGGCCTAATTTAAACTTGTTGAGGCACTAAATTATAACAAAGAAGGCCCTTCCCTTCATTAAATAATATTAGTTTAAAAACACGAGGCTCTAAGTTATAATTTCCTTAGCTTATACATATATAAATCTGGCCCTATAGAGCAGTGTTTCTTAACTGTTTTAGGGATAATCATCCTTTTGAATCTAAAAATAGGGTCTTCATCCCTTTTAAAATTGTGTTCCAATTTCTTTTTTTTCGTTATGAAATCCAAATGAGTGTAAGGTGGCAAAGGTACAGGAAGTATTAGTCAGTATCAGTACACTACCTTAGTATTTCCAGTCTATTGTAAGCTCTGAGAATACACAGTACAAGTCGAGTTCAATTTAAGACAGTTTTAAATTTGATATTATACATCTAAAGGTTACAAATCCGCTCGCACCCCTAGGGTTTCACGCACCCCAAGTTAAGAAACACTGCTGTAGAGATATCGACAAGCAAAAGAAAATCAGGTTGGGAATCCTTGCTTTATATAACTGTAAATAAATATTCTGTAAAAAAAAATTATTTTAATTGTAGAAACAAACAAACGAAAAAATTTTTTATTCAGGGTATAGGAATTATCACGTGATATTTATGCAAAATATTTGTACAAAGTAAATTATATATCGGCAAGCCATTTTGCTGCTGTTGATTCATAAATAATTCTAGTCTAAATCTAGTCGTGAATTGTAGTTGAAATGTTTTTTCTCTTGCAAATATATGGTTTAAAATTCATTACAAAAATGTGATTTTTAATCTTCAGGTTATTATTGAATATAATTAATATTACATTTAATACTATAGAAGAAATTAAGTGATTACACAAATGTAATATACAGTAAGATCCTGCTTAATGCAGGGGATATGCTTCTAGATGACAAAAAGCACTAAATGAAACAGTGTTAAACAAGATCATTTTAACACAGAGTAAATAGGGAAAGGGGAACACGTGACCAAAAATAAACAGATCTTACTTTAATTTTAAGTTATTTTTTGTATTAATACAGAAATCTGTAGAGAAATTCTTCAGGTTCTTTGTTTTCAGAATCATTATTTTCCAGTTCTACATGAATTCCTTGTTCTGCCAGTTCTTGAAGGTCATCGTTGGTAAGGCTCTCACCAGAAACCTGCAGTAACTCTTCAATATCCTGCTCATTTACCTCTCCAAGTCCTGCTGTGTCGATTAGGTTGACAATTTGGTCAATGATACAGCGATAGGATCTTCTTGTTGAGAATTCTTGGATACCTTCAGCCATAACGTCTTCTCCACTCTGTTCATGCATTTACCTAGCGAAGTCGATATAACATCATGGATAACATCATGCATTTATCTAGCGAAGTCGATATAACATCATCATCAAAAATATAACATCATGGATGCCTATGGCATCCATGATGTTATATTTTTTCCAAAATTGCACCAAACAAACATAAATTTAAGGAAAGTACATCACTATGATGGATTGCCACTTTTTGCTGATTGGTTCATGTTCAGGAATAATTGTATTAATATATGAATCAATGAAATGCCACAATAATTTGAATTAGTGTAAATTTTGAGCTTTTTTTTAGACTATGAGCAGACTGCGTTATATTGAATCGGTGTTAATTGAGGTAGTGTTAAACAAGGTCTTACTGTATATATAACATATGTTGTCAGAATTGAAACTAATTTTATTTTATAACTATGTATGTTATATATACAGTAAGACCTCATTTAATGCTACCTCGATTAACACAGATTCAATATAATGCGGTCTGTTCGAAGCCTAAAAAAAGTTCAAAATTTACACTGATTTAAATTATTATGGTATTTCATTGATTCATATATTATATATTCATAATTACTGATTGTCATTAAGTAATAATTGATAAAGAGTGTATAATAGATTAACATAATCAGTTTTAGATAAACAATTTAATTTAAAAAATTAAGTGATTAAAAATATATTTAATATAATCAAGGTTTAAAGTTTATATTGATTAGAAATTTTTTTCCAGAAGATAACTTTAATATATTAATTATGAAAAATTTACTAGTACTGGTGGTATTAATATTTCAAAGTTTTAAAGCTTGTAATGATTTAATGTTTGTTTATTTCTTGTTTTCATGTTAAATTCATTTACAGTAGAGCATTGATTATCTGAAATAATTCGGGACTGGGGTTGTTTTCAGATAACTGATTTTTCGGATAACTGATCATTTACAAAAAATATATTAAACACAAAACTGTACTGTATCACATATCTGACAAATACATATCTTACATAAAGTTAGTATGTTAAAGTAGGTCATTAGTTTAGATTGGCAGGGAGGGGGAGAGTGCTGCAGCTCCACAGCACTAGTGGAAATTGAATTTGCCAAATTTCGATTAACTGATGTTTTGGTTGATCGGTATTCAGATAATCGATGCTCTACTGTACTAGAATTGTGATTTTCAGAAACAGAATGTTATATATTCAGTGAAATAAAATAATTATTGCTTACATTGAATATTTCTATTAAATTTTGATCAGCAATATCATATTATATTCAGCAACATTATCATAATTCTATTATTCTGAGGTTTTACACAAGTATCAATTACAATATTTATAAAACAAGTATTTTGGTACATGCACATATGGGAAAATTGGGGTTATCCTGGTTAAATTTTAGTCTGTATCATCTGATCCATTAGAGAAAACTTAGATAATTTTACATTAGTTGATACTCCAATCTGGTTGCTACTATATGATACAGTACATAACAGTAAAGACTTTAATCATTAATATATGTATTAGATACAGTAGAGCGTGGATTTTCCGAATCAGTTGGGGACTGGGGTTGTTTGTATAACTGATATTTTGGATAACCGATTTATGTACAAAAAAATAGTTTAACGTATCCGATGTTGAAATTTTTCTCCGTTGCGTGTCGCTTCTCATTGAATTTTCGTTGATGTTAAGCCTAACAAAGACTATTGTATCGTTAAAAATTATTTTTTTANCCATAGAATATCCTCCTGAATATCCATGAAGCTATAATGTCCCCTTTCCCATAGAATAACCTCCTGAATATCCATGAAGCTATAATGTGCCACTTGTAACCCCAGTAGCACATTATAGCTTCATGGGATCCAGGCGAATGTGAATTAGGACGCCTCTTCAGACATTTTTCTTCCGGAAAAATTCCTCCGTATAAATTATGAAAGAATAATTGCGTTTAAATTATAATTAAAAGAAGCAGAAGCATATATTATAACGTTATACAAATTAGAATTATAGCATCGTATAGTGCATTCGTTTTGACAAAATACGTCAGTTTTTCGTCATATCTAATCTTTTTTGGAATGGGGAAGTGTGAAATGACGTCAAATTGACGTCATAGTATACATTATTCTAACTGTAAACTTCATTATAGTGTTATTCCTTATGATTTGCTTTAATATTAATCTAATTCAATTATTTTCGCAAATTCAGTTTTTAAGTAGTTAAATTAGTTTTCTGTATACAAATTTAAATATAATAAATTAATCAAATGTAATTAATACTAAAACGAAATGAGATGATACAAGAGATGATGATGGATAATTTATATATCTTCTTTTAATTATAAATCAATTTTCTATATAAATTATATTTTAAAAAACGTGAAGCATGATTCTCTCTTTCTCATAATACGGTTATACACCTATACAATCATTTGTATATATGCTTCTTCTTGTTTTAATTATAATTTATATGACATACTGATTTAATTATTGAAACTACCATTAAAAGAAGCATACGGTG